CTCCCACAATGATAACATTAATCCATGCATGAAAGCAGAGCTCTCCTGACCTAATCACCTCTTCAAGCTCTTACTTCTCAACACTGTTGATTGGGAATTAAGTTTCCAACACATGACTTTGGGGAACATATTCAAACCACGGAAAGGGTACTGTGTTGATGTGATACTCATGAGAAAATAAATCAAACAGCTTCATGATTTTGGAGTCAGGAAAAGATCCCTAAATGTGATACCAAAATACTAACGTCAGAAAAGAAAATAATATTATTACAATTAAGACACTGTATTCTTCAAAATTACATTCTTTACAATTAAGAGAATAAAATGCAATCCACAGAGTTGAATATGTGTGTGTGTGTGTGTGTGTGTGTGTGTGTGTAGATCTATGGCTATATCCAATAAAGAGCTTGTGTCCAGGGTGCCTATGGGCAGACACACACACAATCCAAAAAAATCACTTAACAAATATATGGGAATTTTGCTCGATTTCATCAAGAATCAGATTAAAACCACAATGAGATATGACAATGCACATACCAAAATGGCTAAGATTAAAAGCCTTGACAATATCAACTATTGATAATGCTGTAAACCCAAAGTAATTCTCTCGCACTACTGCTGTGTACACTGGTACATTGGCATTACCATTTGGAAAACTTTGGCATTACCTGAGCATGGATCTTACTCTATGACTCAGCAATTCCACCTTTACATTTACACCCAAAATAAACTCAAACCCACCTGCACCAAATGACAAGTGAAATAATGCTTGTGGCACTACAATTCATATTATTCAAAGCCTGGAAACAAAATATCTATCAATGGTAAAAGTATAAATAAACGTTGGTGCTTACTTACAATTGACTACTACACAGCAATAAAAATAAAGAAACTACTACTGCATACAACACAGATGACTATCATACATATCATGTTGGGCATAAGACACTCAAAACAAAAGACTGTCCACTGGATAATTCCATGGACATAATGTTAAATGAAGCAAACAGAACTAAGTGCTAGAAATCAGATAACTAATTTGGGAAGGAGAGCAGGAGAAATGACTCAGAGTGCACATCACTCTCCTGGGAGTGGCTCCTGGGATGTGGACAGTGTTTTACTTCTTTTGACCGGTTGGGGTGACACAGGAGTTCATTTTGTGGACACTCACCCACTCGCCTGTTTGTTTTCCTCACTTCACTGTTTGGTGTTATACTTACCAAAGTAATTCTGAAACTAAATAGATCAGAGAACTTGAAAATAGCTTACAGATTTTGTTGATGGGTTGCCAGAGAAAAGAAGAGGTACATAAAGTGCATGAGATTTAGTGCAACCTTCAGACCTTCCTTTTCCTTCTTGGAGCAAAATTAATAGATGAGGAAATAGTTACAATTCGGCCCCAACCCTGAGAAACAGACTATTTGCTAAAGGCAACGCACTGAGATAAGAACTGGAGCCAGAAATTTAAAAATGGGAATTGTGAAAAAGCAGAAGTAGAAGGTTCAAAGTAAATAATGGGCTGTCTGCGGGGAGAAAAAAATATTCTTTACTAAGTCCACTATATGAATGCTGGAGATTGTTCTCAGGGAGAACTTGAAGAAAGAAAAGATTGAACAAAAGGGTGTTAAGAAGAGCGGAAAGACACAGCAGGGAGGTGGAGAAGTGAAATGGAATGATCAGAAGGAGCAAGAAAGGAGAGAAAAGAATGGAGAGAAGAAGAAAAAACTAGAGGAAGGGAAAAAATGGAAGAAAGAAACAGTTAAATGATCCATATTGGGGACCTGGGATGATTTAGGCATTTCATCCATATTAATATCATTTAAACTTCACATCAACCCTCTTAACGTGAGGAAACTGCAGCTGAGAGTTTGTTTTATTCAAGGGAATACACTTTTAAACATCACCTCTAGCTGCATGTAACTCTAAAGCCTGTGCTCTAGGAAATTGCTCAATTCCAACAGGGAGCATTTCCTTGTAGGAAGTAATTACCTGTGTTACCATGGGTCCTGAAAAGGAATACCCCAGAGGCGCCCTTTGTCCTAACAAGCAGACAATGGTTTTGAAAATCTTCTGAAACACTAACTCTATACATCTATTGCATGATATAAGGTCTGTTATAGGGAAAATTTATGGATACCACTGTCATCCTCTAATTCTGCCTTGGTATTAAAGGGCATTTTAGAAGAAACTAGTGTCTATTTTCTGGAGGGAAACTAGTAGAATACTAGGAGTTCTGTTTAGGTTGACAATGCTTTATCAGAAAAATGGGCATAAGATACTATATGGTGTAGTTTATAGTATTTGCCAACTGGCAGGAATACCAAAGATATGGGGTGGTACAGGAAATTCCAAGGGAAAACTTAAAGTCATGAGGTTACCTGGATTTCTTCAGGCCAACCAGAGGAGAACAATGAATGACTAAAAAGGAAGAAAGACTCTTCTCTCAAAGAAAATCATCTCATTTTGAACAAATTATGTGAAAAAATAATGGAATTTGTCTCCGCATATAGCCCAATTTGGGGGTTACTTCAGAGTAATTGCAAAAATGTATTATTCATCAATACTTTCACTTAAGTTGGAAGTTACTTAGCACTTCTGAGTCAAAAGAAAGTGAAGGTATGGAAGAAGAGAGGTTAAAGGAAGAATTCACGTGTACTGATGACAAGGTGGAGACATGCCAGATATTGCTAGGGCACTTCATACAGCACATTTTGGGATATTCTTTATAGTCCCCCAAAAAGGCATAAAAATTAAACCAAGCTTCCCCCAAAAAAGGCATAAAAATTAAACCAAGCTGTCTCCAAGGAATAATTAGAAGTGAAAATCGATGAGGGGAAAATAGCTCATATTCTCCTCATTGATTTCCTGTGCACAGTGAGTCAAACTTGACTGTGGGTTGGAAATCAGTTTGGCTACTTCTTATTTCTTTTTCAGCAGTTGGGTTCTCCTGTCAGTGCCTTTCATGCTGGAGTCTTTCTTTGCTCTAATCACAGCTGTCAGCTATCGAATGAGTTTGACATCCTGACTCCAGAAACGAGGGAATTCACACCCCATGCATATGCAGTCAGCGCCTTCATTAAGGCTGATTGACATAACAGACATGGTGCACTGCCACTGATTTTTATGAGAAAAACAAATGGCTATGTGTACATTAAAGTGGGAATCTCCTTGATCAGAAACACTCAAAGCCCAAGAATCAGACTTTCAGACAATTAGGCCACTATCATTTTGCAATAATAAAAATATAGGTCTTTACAGTAATAGTGGCCAGTAATAGTAAGTCTCCTCTTCACCCTCAGCAAAAACTGAAACAGAACTAGAGCTTCTCAGAGTGCTCCTGTATCTAAATTAGTATCATAAAAAATGACAGAATCCAAGCTTAAATAGATCTAGTCCAAAACCACCAAACGCAGAGCTTTCCCAACAACAGCCTTTCTGGCTTCCAGCTGACACTCCTAGCAATAAGCACTTCTTGTTTGGTGTGAGACTGCTTTCTGAAGATGGAAGCACAAACTGAATCCATACCATAAAGAGGTCACTATAGCATGGTCCTGATGGAGATCCATTCCCACCTTATAACTGCATTTAATCATCAGTGTTTGTCCTCTTCAAACCCCAGGAATTCATAACACGACTCCAGCCACAAAATTTCCTTGCTGCACTTCCTCTGGCAGTTGGTCTCTTCCTACCAGTATACAAGACTATTATCAATGCCCTTCAAAAGGTCAAATGTCTCCTGGTAAGTGGCCAACTCCCCAGCCGAGTTCAGAGGGGTAAGGGATGTTACAGACAACCAGGTGGGAGCTGGGAGCACAGGATGTGCGATGGCGCTTGCTCTATTAGCTTTAGGGTAGGGAGATATAAATGAAAATATATGAATGAATATATATATATATATAGTCATAGTCTAGATATATATTGTCTCTATATAGTCTATATATAGATAGATAGATATTGTCTCTATATAGTCAATAGATATATAGATATATATTGTCAATTATAGATATAGATATATTATATCTATATAGACTGTCGTGCTCCACGCTGTCAATATAAACACTGCGGAGGAAGGGGTGGATCAGCGCTGCACAGGGCAGACCTAAGGCACGTGTTACAAGGCAGCTGAGTCTGTCACCAAGTACCTACAGCAGCCCAACCCCGCAGTCACATGGACCCATACCTGTCATTGGCCCCAACACGTATCACCCGTGGACACTACAGCTCCACTGGTTACATTTGGTCTGTTTCCCCAGCAGAGCCTAGTGCGGGACAGGTGGTCATGAAACAGTTCCTGAGTGGCACTTACATCCAATGCGTGCTTAAAGGACTTAGAGAACTGACACTCCGGCCGCAGCCAGGCCTACGCTCCTCTGCCCTCCTCAGCACCATTGCTCTTCAGGTCCGGAGAAAGCCTAGGTGCCGCCTTCGCTAACTTTCGCCTACGGCGGCCCGAAGGCATCAGACGCGAAGTCAGGGCGGAAGAGCTGACCCCTGGGACTACTGCCCGGTCGTGAGTGCGCAGGTGCAAACCTACGTTTCCGGAGCCCACTTCCTCCCTTGTCTCCTAGCAACGGTTGGAAGCGTTGTTGACAGCCCTGGAGGCACAGGCGCCGGACTGAGCCCAGAGTCTTGCTGGCCACGCGATGGTAAATTCATGGTCTCCATCATTAACCCCGCTGCCAAGGGCACCTACCGGCGGGGGCCTTTGCTTCCTGGCTCCCTGACCGGGGCCGCAGATGGTGGCTCCAGAGGCTTCTTGGAGGGGCGAGAGGGAGACCCTGGAAAGGGGGAAGAAGATGCTTAGATGGGGGGAAGCTGTCTTGGGGGGTGGTTCTTCGGAAAAGGGGAGAGAGAGATTGAGGAGATGAGAAATCCTGGGAGCCAGGATTGTTTGTGAAGGGCAGGAGCGAGATGAAGAAGAGAAAAATGCTGAGGAGTGAGGAAGAAATGAAACAGGGAGAACAAGGCGGGGGGCGGCGGGGGACGGAGACCCTGAGAGAGAAGAAAATCAAGAGAAAGGGAGGAGAGAAAAGGAAGAGAGATTAATTATCCTTTCCCTCCACAAAACTACTGGGAGGAGTGGGAAATGAAGAAAAGTTAATCAGGACGATGACTATAAAGAGCTGTGGACATTGTCTTAAAGATGATCAGAAAGGTAATACAGGGGTGATGCCCTGTACAAGTATTGGGATTTAATGCAGTGTTCCAAGGTGAAATGGCAAACACTCATCAAGACACAAGACAGCCCAGATGTGCCAAATAACAGTGATCATATCGTGAGAAAGTTCTTCCTTGCAATTTATTTTCATGATAAACAATTTCTTCTTAAATTGCATTTATTTAAGCTTTTGGCAATGAGATTAAAGAACATGTGAGACAAATAATATAGTGTTTAAAATGGCAAAAATTGTGAATCTAGTATAGCAATGCCTGAAATTGAGAAAATATCTGTTATAGTGGTAGAAAAAGTGCTCATACCCACATATCCACATTAAATGCAAAAAAACACTATCTTTGACTAAAGTAACAATGTTTACCAACGTGATGTGAGGGACAGAGTAGAATGTAACAATCCCTCATCAATAGACTGCAGAATACTCTTTAAATTCAGAATAACCAGTGATTGTTCAGATGTGAAAAATATAGGTGTGATGGAGAAATATGGTGAATATTTAAAATTTTTTACTACAGTAAAAGTACATTATCATTAATCCCTCTCAAAATACTCCCCCTCACTTCAAACACACTTAAAGTCCTCTTTTGTGAGAGTCTTTAGTTGCACTATCATGGCTGCCCCAATGTTCTAAATCAATTTAAAACTTTCACCTTTCATGGCCATTTTGACTTTGGGGAAGAGCCAGAGTCACACGGTGGTAGATCAGGACACCATAATGGTTTTATGAGCCTGCTTTTGTACTGGATGACACTGCACAGAAGCAAGCTGACTTGTGGAACTGCTTGAGAAAATGACAAGAATGATTAGATAAGTGTGTCAACGCAAGGGGATGAAATTTGAGGGGAATTAATGGGAATATGTCTGTTTGTGTAATAAAATTTTTAAATTTGACAATTCACTTTATACTTTGATCAGCTTTTGCATGTTTAGAAAAGATTATTCTTGATTTTGGAATCACTAGAAAGAAAGAAAACTTCGCACAATAGACTTTATGCAAAAAATTAGTTTAAAACTCAGTCACAGGATTGTGACATAATCATTCATGGTTTGATATTCACCTTGCACCAAGACTCAAGCTATGGTTACCAAGAGAACCTTGGACTCCTGGAATATGTTGTTTTTATACAATACACTTCTGTAAACTCAAATCATCTGAATTAGGTACCACTAATGAAAATATGATTTTTCATTAAAAGCCACTTATAGAGAAAGGGAAACTGTAATATATAAAAGGGTTTTTTGTGTGAATACAGAAAGATCAACAAGTAAAAGATGACCCAGGGCAGATTTCTATGCAATGGGAAAAGCACTTTTCTAACAAAAGTACTTTCCTTGTGAGGCAATATGGTCTCTGTCTCTAAAAGGCAGCAGCAGGCCAAGAGATTTGTCAGAGTTGTATGCAGGGGGGGATCTTATGTAGGTTTTTATGTGGGACTTGGTAATTTCCAAGTTGGTTATTAAAATCTAAGATTATAGCATCCAGGACCTTCTACAAATCTTGGATGATAGCATGTGGTATCTTTTAAAATTCTGGGGTTATAGCACCCAGTACCTTTTTAAAATCTGGGATTATAATACCGAGTACTTTAACCTTCAGTTAAGGAGATTGGGGGAAAAACTATCATTTTGAAGATCAATCTCCTTAGGATTGGTGTCACCACAAAGACCCTTTGGATAAATTGTCTCTCTGATCTCGTCCAGACAGAGGTGGAGGAAACCCTGAAGAGGATCCAGAGCCATAAAGGAGTTATTGGAACCATGGTTGTAAATGCAGAAGGTAAATATGTCACAGTCTGCCTTCTTGACACACAGAAGTCAACCAGGAATTTGTTTATTGTATCAAGACTTGAAACAAACATCTTACAATTTGAAATCAAGACCGTATTTTGTAAATTTAGTCATAGTAGTTATATATCAAACATCTTTGATGTATATGCCAAGCACTCTGCTAAAAGCTATGGCTGTAAATATTAGCCAGACATGTCTAAAAATGTCTATATATTCCTAAGAAACACATAGATTATGTACTTTTTAAGGCTTTGGTATTTCTCTTTCATCATTTCAGAAGTCCCAATAAAGCTATCATGTTTACGATAGAGAGAGTATCATTTCTGGCCATTTGTTTTTGTTCTAACATCATAAAAGATGCAAAGTTTCAGTCTTCATTTTAAGTGACATTGTTCCTTTGCCACAATTCAAAAAAGTCATTGAGAATTCATGTTAATGTTATTTATATTATAGTCTTTGTGAATATAGTATAAAAAGGGCCAATGCATTTCCAACTATGAAATCTCTACACAGTCCTCTTTAGGAATCCACATAGTGCTTCCTCGGGCAGTTTCCCCATGCTCAGCCATGGCAGTGACCTCGTAGAGGTGCCTGCTGGTTTCATTACTAATTCAGGCCTTTGTAAGGCAAGCAGTACCAGAAATTCCAGACCACTGGTTGAAACAAGAGTAGCTATTTCACATAATTCCTGGTGCAACTGTAGACCTGGCATATTACCAGCTCAGGGCCTGGCAAAATCCATCAATAAATCCTTATTGTGCAACCAGCAGCTGAAACTCTGTTTAAACTCTGAATTTTAATTCCTTACCATTAAGAATGGAAAAGAACATATTGTGCTGTACCAGTGGTTGTGAAGATTAAATGAAATCATTGTCAAGTACCCCCAAATAGTTAATTCAGTTTAATTAACTTAATAAAATCATAATTAAATGAATTACAGAATGTGGACATTTTAAGTAACTTTTTACAAATAAAACATTGATTTTTTTTTATAAAATAAAAAATAACTCAAAGCTGAATATGTAGAGTGAGTATGACTATAATAAATTCATTCGGTTTGAATAATCAAAGGGAAGAGAGGATCTCCATCATCCTTACAGGTAAGTCAAGAGCCGTGCTGAACGGGTCCAGGAAGTGATCCAGGCCCCATGGGTTCATCTGGTTATTATTTCCAAATGTTTGCATGTGCTTTGCCACATGCCCTCTGCATGATTTCACAGAGCTGCCTCATTAGTTTGGCTTTGGCTGCAGTGCTGTGTTTATTTCAACCAAGTCCCTCACACCTGGTGGCTTAAAACAACAGAAATGTATTGTCTCATTTTGGAGGCCAGAAGTTGTACTGAGGATATTATCAAGTCCCGGTCTTTTTAAGGGATCCACGGGAAGAGCTTTCCTAGCCCCTCCCCAGCTTCTGGCGGGTTTTGACTGGCCCTTTGTCCCGTGGCTTAGGGACACTCAACCCCACCCCATCCCTCCAAGGTCTGATGGAATCCTCTCCTGCATGTTCCACTTATGAGATCGGAGCCCACCCTATCTAGAATGGCTTCCTTTTGGCTAATCGTGTCTGCAAAGACTCTCTTTCCAAACCATATGGATGTGTTTAGGCTACACTTACTTTGGGAGGAACCCAGTAGAGCTGCATACCCCTGTGGCAGCCAGGCCAACTCATCTAATGTGCTTCATGGGGCAATGTTTTCATGAAGCACTTAACCCTGGTGATAGGCTTCAGATGTCTGAAAAGAAGTAGCCACACCCTTGATCTGTAAATCTGCTGCTAGGAGTTTATCCTAAGGAGTAAGGCAGAAAAGATTTATGTAAAAGAATACTAATCACTAAGGTACCCTATGTACTGATAATGAGTAAACAGCCAAATAAAATAAATCTATCTCAAGCACAGGGGAATTTTTAAACTCATCATGTAATATTTACTCGATGAGTGTGACTCTGTGGGAAATGTCGAAGAATATTTGAATGCTAGGGAACCACTCACTCCAGCAGTTTCTCACCATTTCTGTGGCCAGGTGCACATGTACATGTAAATAGGGGGAAACGTGAGGGTATGTTACAGTGAGTGATCTATTGAGTGATGGAATTAAAGGTGATTTTCACTTTATTTTCCTGAGGTTTCTCAAGATTTCTCTCATCTGAAGGCAACAAAATATTTTTAATACCCATTAACTTTTCCTTAACCTCTCCTGGGATAAGGTTGCATAAGGAGTTAGGGCACTTTTCAAGGCTTCTGGATACTCATTTTTTACCTGAAAGTTACATTAACCTTTTCCCAAAAAATATAAATGAGGGGCATATTTTTATGGTCAGATTATTAATATCAGAGTGTAAGACAAGGGTGTTTATTAATAGTATGTAGTGTAAGTGGTGTGACCAGAATGTAATGAAATGCTAAATTTCAACAGCCTACTCAATTTTAGATGAAAGTGCCATTCATTATAGTACAGCTTTCTGGATTTCAGAGGGCTCATGAAATTTAATATGGAAAATAATTAACTAAAATGGTGTTTGTATCTTCTTGTTCTCTACTAATGATTTTGGTTTACTAATTATAGGCAAATTACTTTAACATACCTCAGATTGTATTTGTGGTTAGGGAGGTCCAGTATATTTATTCATTGAGAGCTCCTCATATGCCATGTTAAATATTAGTGCTTTGGTTTCACTGTTGTGGAAACACAGGCTCATGACAATAAAGTAGACTTATCAATTTATCAATTCTGTGTGGTATAGGTAATGATTAGTGTAGCTCATTTGTTAACATTGGTTTCCTATTTCTAAAACCACTCATTGTTTATAATATTACAACACTGATCATTGCATTAGATACTGGTGAATATCTATTTCCCACATGGTCGTATCTGTCATATATTCTTATGTATATAAGCCAAATTTCTCTAGGCTCTTAATTTTAAAATTCTTGGCACTTCTGACAATCCACTATTTGAGTTACATTAGATTTTATCAGCCATCCAGCCAATGCCTTTTATTTTGAAATGCAATCTAGCAACAAACATGCAAATGTACAGTTGGAGAAGATAAACTGAAATAATAAGCACCAGCTTACTGGGATCATATATTTTACATTTGAAAGCAGTATCATAAATTTGGCGATATCAAACTTAAAAAGGCACCTATTCTTTGTTCTAGAAGCGCCACTTTAGAATTTATTGTACACATATATAGAAATGTGAAATGACATGCCTAAGATCATATTGTCTAGCCCCATTTATAAAAGTCAAGGACTGGGAACAGCCTAAATGCCTGTCAAGAGGACATATTAGTGCATTCCAAAATGCCTATCCAGCAGACTATTACAGTCATTAACATTAATGAATTACCGCCACATAGACTGAATCAAATAATTTCCTTAACTGAAGAAAGTTAAGGTACAAGAATAATGATAGCAATAAAGTAAAGATTATAAACACAAACACATTCTGGAATTGACCTAGAGGAATCCCTGGAGGAATACCTAGGATACTGTGTGTTAAAATTACACTTTATTAAGTTATTTTTAATTACCTCACAAGGTACACAGCAAAAGCTAACTAAATAACTCTTATTTGTCTTCAAGTGTCTATAATATATATGAAAAACTCCCACATGTTCCCATAATGTGCCTTATTATTCAGAAAGGCTAGCTGCTTTATTTATTGAAGTGGATCGTGAACGGACAGACTAAATAGGCCTGAACATCCGATTCATAATCCTGTCATCTACATTTTAAATAATTTATGCTGGCTGTATTTCTTGTGTTGACGCTGAGCAATGCAGACTTCATAGGTTGTCACTATTTAGGATGCAAAATAAGAGTATTCATCAAAAGATACCCTCAAAGGTTGAGTCCTGGCAACATTTTGCCTCCTGCTTATTAAAGTTGTGCTTTGTGACCTTCCATCAGGTGTGAAAGACACCTTAGTCCCTTTCGGGAAAGACATGGCCAACAAATAATAACAAGAAATGAACAGTTTTACGTAATACCTCTTCTATTGACTAGGTTTCCCTGTAAGTACTGTACTTACACTCTTTAGTAAGACCTATTCTGGAGATCTGGTTATATTAAAAAGAAACTGGTCTTTTTCAGGGTAAAAATGGATTCTTTCCAACAGCCTCATGAAAAATTGATAAAACTTTCAGTGCGTAATACTCTTCTACTCTTGAAAGTGCTCTTTTTGTAATCATTTGTGGAGCTGCATTTTCTGAAGGAAAATAGAGAACCGTGTTAGATTCTTTCATTGAATGGCCTTAATTCACGTACCTAAGGAATTCAACAATAATCCCAATTTCACTCCATGTGTCCCTCTAAAGTAAAGGCACATTTGCAAATAAAACCCCTGGAATTCCTAACTGGCAGTCCTCAAAAATACTATGAAGGCTCTCCTTGTTTAGATATAATACAGTATATATATATAAACTGCCTGTCACAGCACCTGTTACATAATAGATACAGAGCACTGGCTGACCTGAATTAGCTGGATTGATTGGAGCTGAATTGAATTATACTTGCATATTTGTCTGGCTGGAAGCTTCCAGCTTAATTAATAGATTGTGTTTTATACTCACATAATAGAACAATGGAGCAATCAAGTAGCCAAGTTTTAATAATGTTTAAAGTGAAAAATGAGTGCAAATCAAGAAACACAGAGCAAAACTACATAATCTTTGTTATCATGTTTTTCTAACATAAAATGTAAGGTTTGCAAAATACTGTGTGAAGTATTAGGAAGAAATTTTGAAAAATCTCTTGATTACTCTCCAGCATAGGTAGTGATGCCTCTTTATGTTTCCAGTTTCAGGAAGGAAGACCTACAGTGTGCCTCATACAAAGCATTTCAAAGCAGACTGGCTGTAGATAGGATGCTTGGGGAAGGCAGTGTATAAAAAAATGCATTCACTTAGGGCTAAAATATCTGATGAACAGCTTCCAAATGATGTATGAACAAAACATTCATCACACCTTTATTTATAAAAATATAAAGACCAATTGCCCAAACGATGGGAGCTTGAATGTATTATGATATATCCACAAAATAGTTAAGTGTGTAAAGATTAAAATTAATGGTGATGACATTATCAACAAGATCAACTGTTTGCTAAAGGAAGAAAAAAGCAGCAGTCAATTTCATAAATATAGTTTGACTAGATTTATGCTTAAAAACCTATGTAGAGATGAAAAGATTGTAAGGATGTAAACTAAAATTGATACCAGTAATATCTGCTCTCACATTTTCTTCTTCTTTGCAGTTATCAGTGTTTATAATGTTCACATTACTTTTATAATCATAAAACAAATGTTAACCCAAAATCAAATTTCATAACAGGCATCCCTATCCGAACCACTCTGGACAACTCAACCACAGTTCAGTATGCAGGCCTTCTTCATCAGCTCACAATAAAAGCCAAGAGCACAATCCGTGATATCGATCCTCAGAACGACTTAACTTTCCTTAGGATCAGGTCAAAGAAACACGAAATCATGGTAGCTCCAGGTAACTTGGCATTTCATTTCATATTAAAAGCACCTTTCCTCTGTACTGGTTAAAAGCCTTGTTTCAAAGAGTAGGGAGTATGGGTTTTAATATATGATATTAAACATAACTTCCTTGGGTTACAAAACGAAGATGTTTGAATCTGAAGATTCCAACTTGAAAATTTTTTTGAAATTAGTGATCAACTCCACCTTTGAACAAACTGAATTTTTCCCACTTTGCATTTACTATTAGTTAACAAATAATGAAGGTGTAGTTCTCATTCTCAGTGAATTGGGCACACAGACTCCGGAGTGTGGCAGACACATGCCCTATCCATAGGATGAAGTGGGGAGAGTACCACGACCCCCTCTGTGTGGGTAAAGCATAGCCAGCGTGGCCTACAGGAGGACGGCAGCCACAACGCACATCCTTCCACAGAGGAAATAAGTTTGCAGAGTCACCAAACGACTGTGTCATACTCCTAAACCTAGCCTAGAACAAACTTCTCCATAACGCATCTATCAATTTAGGATTGCCTAAAAACTAAATGCAGCTTGGTAATGTCATTTGGAGATCATTTTTTAAAATGGCCCATGCCATTGGTCTGACACCATCCCCAGACCAATGAAATCAGACTCTGGGGCCAGCCTGGGATGGGTAGTTTTTAAATGCCCAGATGATTCTGATGAGCAGCGATCAGTTTCAAGTGATATTTGGAAGAGAAAAGTGGTATGCTCAATTACTAAATGGGATTTGTAGGGTGAATTAATTTTGTCCACTTCTCTCCATAGATAAAGAATATCTTCTGATTGTCATTCAGAACCCATGTGAATAGACCTGCTACAACCACGACTGCCCTCACGATGCTGAGCTGGAGACACTTTAATGATTCCTAGAATTATATCCCAATCTAACTTAGTCTTGGATGTTCTTTTCTATTTTCACATCTAAACTATTCCACATGTCTCTTTTGGTCCCTTTTGATTGCACTGTGAACTTGTACTTTTGCTAAATAATAAACAAATTTTGGTATGTATATCTCTTTTTTAGAGCTGAAGGATTCTAGAAACTGAGAGATACTAGTGAGAAGACAGCCTTCTATGTAATGGTTCTTTTAGTCTAGCAGTAGCTGCCCCCAAGGTTAGAAGTGTAACTTTGCCTAATTCCTGGACAGTCAGAAGTCAGAGCATAGTCCGAGGAGCCCAGTGTCATCTCCAACCCTTACCAAGTGGCTCTTACCGGTGCTTCTGTCATACCAGCCCGAGGGGACCAGAGATGGGCCCTGGGAAAGGCTGCACACATACAAGATAATGCCAGCGTGTTTTATTTTCACTAGGCATTTCAAACATTGAAAAAATAATGGAACAAATACAACGAATTTCCATGTACATTTAGATGTTAATTTAGATTTAGATATTAATTCGCCATTTAGATGTTCATAGTTTGCTATATTTGCTTTACTTACATCCTCCTTTTTAAAACTAAATGTTGTATTTTTAAATAACTGGAGATTCACACGACATTGTAAGTAACCACAGAGATCTTGTGTGCCCCTTACCCACTTCCTCCCATGACAGTACCTTCCAGGACCCCAATACAGTGTCACAACAGAAAACTGACACTGGTTCAGTCAACATACAAACCATGTCCATCCCTGCCAGGGTCTCTCAGTCGCCTTGTGTAGCACCCCATTCCCACCCCTGACCCTGGCAATCACTCAGCCATCCTCCATTCATATAATTTTGTCACATAGAGAATGTGGTTATCTAAATGAAACAATATAATACAGTAAGTAAGCATCTGAGATTGACTTTTTTTCACTCAACATAATTCTTTTGAGATTTGTTCAAGAATAAGGAATGAAGCATTGCAGATCCAGCTGCAGCCTGCTTCGCCTCCTCCTTGTGGCTCTGTCCTCCCCTCACAGAGGACTGTTGTCTGGAGTCCAGGCTCCTGGGCACCTTCACCTACATTCCTGCTGCTCTTCCACAGCAAGCCAAGGGTGGAGAATGCTGTAGATACGTTTATTACCTAAATACACCCTGCACACCGCATTGCATCCCTTGAGGCTGTCGTGGCCAACCCAAATGGACACTAGTCTAAGCAAGAGGAAGAGCTGAGGCAGATCCCTAGGGCTAAAAGGACTCGCTGTGCAAGTAAGGATGGGAGAAGAGACAGGTCCCAGGGGGAACTTACTCAAGACCTAGAGAAACTGTGGAGACTAACGACAGACAATCAGGCAACTGAGCAGATGCCTGAGGCCCATTGTGTAACCCAGTACCAGCAGGGCTGGGGTCTGCACACCCTCCCTTTGACAATACTCTCCAGGTACATGCAATGCAGCTCCAGACTCAGACTCATTCAAGAGTGGCCAGGAAAGAAGGTTGGAGAGTCATCGGTCCTGGATTCATCACATTCTGGCTCTGCCCTGTGTAAGCAGCTCCATCTGTAAAATGGGGTGATAAGGGAATCTAGCAGGGTCTGTGTGTGGAAATCAGCCAAGTGGCACAGATAAAGTGTCTGGCACAGAGTGAGAACTCAGCAAATATCAGCTTCTCTGCTGCTGCTCCAAAAAGGCCCTTACTTGGGTGATGACAAGTAGTGGCCTAAAACATATGTAAGTTCCAGTGACAGCCCTGGGGTGTCTCGTGTCACCAGCCCTGCATGGTTAAAACCAGGATTCTGGCTCTGTCTTCAGGGAGAAGAGCACAAAGGAAGAAATGAGCCTCAGCTGTAACAGGAGTGAGACCCTCATCCCACGGGTGAACCCAGCAGAAGGGACTGTTGGGCAGAGAACCTGCACTGCAGCACACGTCTGACTTGTGAGACGTGTCCCCACACTATCTTTTAAAAACTGCAAACCTACAGAAGATTAGAAAGCATAGCACAAGGAGCACTCATATAATCTTCACACACATTCACCAACTGTTACTGTTTTATGACATTTGCCTCATCTCTCTGTGCATACATATTTCATATATAAATGTATTATTCACACACAGACCCTATAAAAGCTACAGATGCCATAATACTTTAAAACCTCAGCAGGTATTTCTCCAAAAATAAGGATATCCCCTCACATAACCACGGCATCAATTTCATACATAAGAAATTTAAATCAACATAACAATACCTTCTTATGTACAACCATATTCAAATTTCCACAGGAGTCCAAATAATGCCTTTAATAACCACGTCTTTAAAAAAAAATCCTTGCTCCTAAAAAGCAGTGCATGTTGACACATGCCTGTAATCCCAGCACTCAGGAGGCTGAGGCAGGAGGATCACCATGAGTTTGAGTCCAGCCTGGGATACATAGCGAGTTCAAGGCCAGCCTGGACTACATAGTAAGACCCTGCCTCAAAGAACTAAAAAAAAAAAAAAAAAAAAAAAATCCTGGCTCCTATCCAGGGCTGCATATTATAAGTGGTTGTCGTGCATCTTTTTTTATAGAAACCCTTATTCTCTACTTCTCTACCTTTAGACACTATCAACCTTCTATTTGCCCCCCGAGAGTCCCCAGTGCCACTTGACCCCCAGTTTTCTTTAGCCCCGTTTGGTTAGACCCAGACACATCCTGTAACTACAAGTAATTCAGGGCTTTGCCACAGGTAAGGGCTTCCCCATCATTCCACCTCTTCCTTCAGCCAAGCAAAGTCCGGGTACCATAATCCAGCACTCATCCATCCCTGGACAGCGTCCACAACTGCTAAGAGTTCCAACATAAACAAGATCTTGTTAGAATCCAAAAGGCAAGGAAATGCACCAGCGAGGGGAACTCCCTTCTATTTTGGAGCTACAAATTCTCAAAGCTGAGGAAAACCCTAGAGATGGTCTGTCGGACCCCTTGGTTTCACAGATGAGGATTTCACCTGAGCCTGGGGTCAGACATCCTCAAGACGTCAAGTGTGTGACCTCATGTTGGTCTGATCATGCTGCTGGGATTGTACTTATAACTTAATAGGAGCTGTTGTGAAATCCTCCCGTATCCTCTCACATCCTCTGTTTTTAGAAGCTACAGCACTGATCATTGTTTTAAAGTATCCCAGTGTTTGATTCTAATACCTGAGTCCGGTGTCTCCCCATACTTGCCCCAAAAAGCAGATGTGTGACTGAAGCACTAAAGCCATGTCCTTCCTCCTGGCCTGGCCAGAAATTTCAAGCCCCCTTTGAGATGGAACAGTGTGAAATCCCTGGCAGGTGCAGATGGCACCACCACGAGTGCCAGGGCTCCATGTGGGCTCTTCTGGGAAGGAGACCTTTCTGTCCCACCAGGCAGGGAACTCACAGCAGTCTTGCCAGCACCTTTGCATCCAGAGGAAACGGTGACCTTTTGTGGGGACAGAGCCTGGCAACAGAAGGTAGAAGTTGCCAGAACCAATTCCATCAGAGGAGGATGTGGTGTCGGGGAATGTGCACCCCACCTCTCCACCTTCCGGCACATAGGTCTTCGAGTTCCCTTTGGATTCACAACAGCATAGTTAATCAGCTCTTTTTAAAAGATGCCTGGGCCTATAGACTGAAGGTCTATCCTCATCCAAAACCATTGGTAGAGCTTCCATTTCCTAGGAAAAGAGAAAGCCTGGGCTCATGTAGTGCCACTTCTTAATCCAGCTAGCTATACATTTTATCTGAACAATAGGAAAGCTATTTGCAGAGTCTCTGGAGGAACATAACCCACCCATAAATATTAATGATAATGAACTTGGAAAGGCCAGCTTAATAAAATAGCTGAAAATGCACTTACGCATCATTAGCATTATGAGCTCCCCAATCTTCATCTCTGAACAGCAGGACCCTCCCAGCAGAGGTTGGGGAACCCACCTGGAGCCGTAGAACAAGATCATATGTCCTTCCAAAGCCCAAATTACCAGAGACCCCTCTTGGTTTTTGAAAAGTTCCAGTTACCTTCAGTATGTGCTTGACATGGGACAAAATATCCTCACTGTTCTAACACTAGAAAATTACACCAGGTCCCTGAAGTGGAATGATAGCATATGTAGGTGAAGTGGCCACATTGACTCAACCAATATTTGGTCTTGTATTACATTTTTAGAAAAAAGTGGGTCATGGGTAGAACCATAACAGAGCTTTTAGACTATCCAACAGGGTCTTTACAAAAGATAACTGAACCTCTCCAATCAGGAGAACCATGAGACTCCAGTGCTACCTTAATACAAAGTCATCTCTAATAATGGAAACTCAGGCATCCCCAGGGAAGTTTGGAATATTGAAGGTTAGGGACCCCTCTCTGGTATGGTTCTTACGCAGGACTGGACACAGAGGGCTGGCTGTGCACCCAGCCATTTCTTGAACCCAGAGAAAAGAAGACTGAAACTTCTTATTTCTTCCCAGTTTCTTACCCCCCAAAATGCCCCTTTCTTATTTCTCTCCACCATACATTACTTCAGGATTCCCTGGCTGCATGCATAAATAATTTTATTTCTTTGTTCAACTTTATAGCAAGAGACACAAGACAGCGCAGCTGGAAAAGCATGAGATCTAGAGCCGAACTGCACTGCTTATCAACGACTTCTCCGAACCTTGGTTTCCTCACCTCTAACTGTGAGGAATGCCTACCCACAATGGCCTTGCAACCTGTATCATACAATACAGCAGAGATGGCAATTATTAGTATTCATAAGTGGCAACATCAGCAAAATAAACCAAGCCTGCCATTGTGCAATCCATTTATCACATCTCCTTGTGGCTTCTTCTCATCTTCAACCACAAGCAGAAATAGACAGAGTTGTGACTCTGTCAGACACACAGCCATATATAATTCCTTTACTTAGAATAATAATAAGCATTTCCACATTCCTACCTACAATTTTGATCAGTTTTTCTTAATATCTGAATGCCTCAATGAGGCCAATGAGAGCTGCAGCCTTGAGACTTAGAAGAGTGTCAGCCTCAGCCTGGGCACAAACCCAGGCGTTGGGGGCGGCCGTGTATTTTCCACAGGGGAACGGAGCAGGCGGATCTCAGAGGGAAAGGATGTGACAGCCCTGCCTTATAACACAGAGTGAGAGGATG